AAGTCTCTGCACTCCCCCAAGTCTCTGCACTCCCCCAAGACTCGAGATTCCCCCAAGTCTCTGCACTCTAAATCTCTAGATTCGCCCAAATCTCTGCACTCCCGTAAGTCTCTGCACTCCCCTAATCTCTAGACTCCCCCAAGTCTCTACACTCCCCCAAATCTCTAGATTCCAAGTCTTTAGACTCCCCCAAGTCTCTGCATTCTAAGTCTCTAGACTCCCTCAAGTCTCTAGACTCCCCCAAATCTCTAGACTCCCCTAAGTATCAGCACTCCCCCAAGTCTCTGGACTCCCCCAAGTCTCTAGACTCCCCAAGTCTCTAGACTCCCTCAAGTCTCTGCACTCCCCCAAGACTTGAGACTCCCCCAAGTCTCTAGACTCCAAGTCTCTGCACTCCCTCAAGTCTCTACACTCCAAGTCTCTAGGCTCCCCCAAGTCCCTGCGCTCCCTCAGGTCTCTAGACTCCCCCAAGTCTCTGCACTCCCCTAATCTCTAGACTCCCCCAAGTCTCTGCACTCCACCAAGTCTCTAGACTCCCCCAAGTCTCTAGACTCCAAGTCTCTAGACTCCCCCAAGTCTCTAGACTCCCCCAAATCTCTGCACTCCCCCAAGTCTCTGCACTCCCCTAATCTCTAGACTCCCCCAAGTCTCTAGACTCCAAGTGTCTACACTCCCCAAAGTCTCTAAACTCCTTTCTCCATTTCTTTCATCTCTCTGTTACGGACTGACCTATGCACTCATCATTTGGTAAAAAAAAAATCTTATGTTGCAGCCCTAACCCCAAGAACCTCAGACTATGGCTGCATTTAGATATAACGTCTTTAAAAAGGTGATTAGGCTAGAATGAGGCCACTAGGATGGGTCTTAATCCAAGCTGGTGTTCTCATAAGGAGAGTTGGACATTCAGAGACCAAGGACGCAGGAATGCACAGGAAAGGCCATGTGATAACGTAGTGGCCCACTGCAAGCCATGGAGAGAGGCTTCAGAAGTCAACTCCGCCAGCACCTTGACCTTGGACTCCTAGCCTCTAGAACTGTGAGAAAATAAGTGTCTGTTCTGAAGCCACGCAGCGTGCAGTACTCTGTTGTAGCAGCCCCAGCACCCAAGTATACTCTCCACCTCCTCTCTCTCTCCTCTCCTCCCCCTCTTGTTTTTTTTTCTTTCTTCCCTCCTTCCCTCTCTCTTCCTGCATAGATTTTTCCATCCTACCTCTGCCCCACATGAAAGGAAGGGGAGAGCAGCGGTTTCACAGCAGAGAAACAGAAGGATGCCCTCAGCTCTGCCAAAAACTGTACCATCGCCCCACATCCCAAGGACCCTCCAAAGCCTGCAGCCAACCTGAGTCCTTAGGGTCAGAGACAGCTCGGGTCCCAGGGAGCCCTCTGGACCACACCCATGTAAAGCAGTTTCAGTTGAGGGGTCACACCCAAAACACACAAGCCAGTTCCGGAAGGCACCCCACCCGGAAAACACTCGTGTCTGCACTGGAAACACCACCCAGGAAGCACCTGTGTTTGCACTGGGGGCTCTCCTGCAGGTGTGGTCCGTGCCATCAGAGCACACACATGCAGTAGGAACAGGCTGCTGGGCAGGCCCTGCTTCCATGAGCACCAGTGGTGGGGGCGGAGAGTCTAGACCCCACTCTCACCTCCCAGAGGCTCCTGCCCCTTGGGATGGGCAAGGTATCAGGGTACATCCCTCAGTAAGACTTTCCGACCAGCAGAAGGTACCAATAGGGACAATATGGTGGGAAGAGTACTATGATGACTGAAGTACAGTCCCATCAGCCTCAGACTTGAGGAGTCACAGCAGGCTTCCTGGGAGAAGTGACATCTAGGAGCAGACCTGAGGATGCAGGAGCTGGCCAGGCAAAGGGCAGAAGGAGTGTCGCAGGCAGAACAAGCTGCGTTTGCAAAGACCCAGCAGGCAGATCAGCGTGAGGAACTGACTGATGTTAATCTGGGGTGGAAGGCGGGTAGTGGCTTGTCATAAAATAGGCCAACCGGAAGAAAATACTACGTGGTTTAGGAGCTGTCTAGAGCATCTATTTCCCCATGTTCATTGCGTGCCTCTATATTGGCTGAACTGCAGAAAAGGCAGTCAGCTCATGACCCCACAAGTTTCGTCTTCCCCACCTTTGCCATTACCCACTGAAACCAGCCTTAAGATTATAAATCATTCTACTCTAAAGACACATGCACACATATGCTTATTGTGGCACCGTTCACAATAACGAAGACCTGGAACCAACCCAAATGCCCATCAATGATAGACTAGATAAATGTAGCACACATATACCATAGAATACTATGCAGCCATAAAAAAAGGATGAGTTCATGTCCTTTGCAGGAACACGGATGAAGCTGGAAACCATTATTCTCAGCAAACTAACACAAGAACAGAAAACCAAACCCTGCATGTTCTCACTCACAAGTGAGAGTTGAACAATGAGAACACATGACCACAAGGAGGGGAACATTATACATTGGGGCCTGTTGGAGCATGGGGGACGAGGGGAGGGAAAGCATTAGGAGAAATAGCTAATGTAGATGATGGCGTGACGGATGCAGCAAACCACCATGGCACGTGTATACCTATGTAACAAACCTGCACATTCTGCACATGTACCCCAGAACTTAAAGTATTAAAAAAAAAAAAAAAAAAAGGGCCAGCCACAGTGGTTCACACCTGTAATCTCAGCATTTTGGGAGGCCAAGGCAGACAGATCATGAGGTCAAGAGACTGAAACCATCCTGGCCAACATGGTGAAACCCTGTCTCTACTAAAAATACAAAAATTAGCTGGGCACGGTGGTGCGTGCCTGTAATCCCAGCTACTCAGGAGGCTGAGGCAGGATAATCACTTAAACCTGGGAGGCGGAGGCTGCAGTGAGCCGAGATCGCACCACTGCACTCCAGCCTGGCAAAATAGCGAGACCTCGTCTCAAAAAAAAAAAAAAATCCCTAAAACCCCCCCAAAACTGTAATAGATATAGAAAAATCCCCATGCAACCAGTATTGAAACATTACACTTTAAAATTTGGTATTTATTATGAATCTAAATTTACAATAAATGCTTAAGCTTTAAAAATAAAAGGAAACTGGCCTTAAAAGCAATGTTCCCAGTCCCTGGTTGCTGACAATGCACTTACCTGGGAAAGAATGGAACTGGGTGCAGGGGGAACTGGCCGGCTTGGGGGAGGCCTCCTGGATGACTCCGTCCTCCCTATTTGAGATGCGGGCCCTGGGGAGTTCCTAGCAGCTCTGCTCAGGTGTGCTGGCAGTAGCGCAGGTGGGGACCCACCACGCAGATAATCTGGAGGGGGCCGGGGAGGAGGCTGGGAGGGCTTCCGCAGGATTTCAGGGGCGTTGATCACCTGTATGTACAAGTCAAGGAACCACTGAGACAAGAAATCACCCAGGGCTGCCACTGTGTGTCTCCTTGAGAGAAAGCAAAGCCCAAAGGGAGAACAGACGCACCAATCTATTAAAACCCCAGGATCCCAGATGTTAGATGCAAACTTTAAAGTCATTAGGGGATGTCAGAACCAAATGACATGTCTCTCAAGCCAATAAAAGGGCTTTTACTACCAATCCCATGGGCTCGCAGAGGCTTTTAGAAAAATCCAGCATGGCCCCGAGGGATAAAGGAAAAGCAGCAAAGTTCAGTGGTGCAAAGCGCCTACCTTTCGCTTGCCCTGGGGAGTCTGCAGCTTGAAAGTTGGGTTGGCATGACCAGTCCCGCTGTTCTGAGAAACCCTGAAGGGACAACTAGTGACAAGAAATGGGGGAGGAGAAGAAAGGGGCAGGCGTTCAGCGGGGGACAGTGCCTGAGTTCCCTTTGACCCAAGCACGGCCAGCGAGCAGCTAAGCCTTCCCCGAGCCTGCTCTAGAGGGCACGGGATTGGTCTTCACAAACCCCATCTTCCTAAGTAGAAAAACGTGTGGCCAATAGAGAACTCTCGAGGAAACAGAGTCGGCCTTATACAAAACAGAGCTTTCTCAGTACCTTCTCTTCACTCTTTAAGACCGTTCCCCTCTGAGGAGACACAAGGGTATCATGAGCCATCAACCAATCCCCATCAGGCATAGAGCCAGAAAGACCTGGGACTTACAATCCCCGCCCCCCCACAACAAGTGTTATTTAACGTGTTAAACGTAAAGACGCACAGAGACTGTACATCTTCCATATTCAAAATAATAAATCATTTTTCAAATGGTTACCAAAAGCAAACAAGGGTAGCTATTCTTGTATTAGACGGAACAAACTTTAAAGTAACAGTGGTTAAAAAGACAAAGAGGGGGCTGGGTGTGGTGGCTCATGTCTGTAATCCCAGCACTTTGGGATGCTGAGGGGGGTGGATCACCTGAGGTCAGGAGTTTGAGACCAGTCTGGCCAACATGGTGAAACACCATCTCTACTAAAAATACAAAAAATTAGCTGAGTGTGGTGGCACACACCTGTAGTCCCAGCTACTCGGGAGGCTAAGTCAGGAGAATTGCTTGAACCCAAGAGGCAGAGATTGCAGTGAGCTGAGATCACGCCACTGTACTCCAGCCTGGACAACAAGAGCAAAACTTCTACTCAAAATAAATAAATAATTAAATAAAATTGGGAACAAATCAGTTAGATAAAGGGTGGCAAATAGATTTTATTTTACGTTTTAGATTGAATTGGTTGGGGATATTCTGCTGAGAAGGACTCAGGAGTGATGACCAGAATCAGCAGAGAGTACTTACAGTACGATCAACTAGTAATGCCTGCCACAGTCACAGCAGGGGAGAGGGCAGTGTGTACCCTGCATTTGTCTTCCCTGAATTAGGCCCACTATCACCGACACCTCTGCTAAGTTTCACTTATGGAGAACTTTGTGACCCATAAATTGACCTTGAGTCCTCCACGGAACCCTGTCATACCTGAACTGCTGCCTCAGCTTAGAAGGCAGAGCTGAGGGCTTGAGTTGGCCTAGTTTCTTGTTCTGTCTGCAGCAGTAGTACAGCAGCAGGAGGACCACCAGCACGAAGATGGCCGCCAGCACTCCAGCCACCACAGGACCCACACCTTCCAGAAACAGAACCCAAGTGGGAGATTTAGGAGCTGCCTGGGTTATAGCAGATTTCAAAATAGGCATCCCTGCTTCTTCTTCAGGCATTTGATTTGTATTTAATTTGTATTACTTATTTCAACTTACAAACTATAATTAAAAGCACACATTATGGTCTGAGTGCAGTGGCTCACGCCTGTAGTCCCAGCACTTTGGGAGGCCAAGGCAGGCAGATCACGAGGTCAAGAGATCAAGACCATCCTGGCCAACATGGTGAAACCCCAGCTCTACTAAAAATACAAAAATTAGCTGGGTGTGGTGGTACCAGGTCTCAGCTACTTGGGAGGCTGAGGCAGGAGAATCACTTGAACCTGGGAGGCAGAGGTTGCAGTGAGGCAAGATCGTGCCACTGCACTCCAGCCTGGACAACAGAGCGAGACTCCATCTCAAAATTAAAAAAACCACACACACACACACATGATATACCACTGGGAAACCACTAATGGTAGCTCAAAGAGCCAAGTCAACTTGCTTTGCACAGACTCTACAGTACAAAGCCTCTATGGCCACTTGCGCTTAATTGAAGACAGTCCCTTTTCAGGCAAGCAGTTCAAGCTCTGTACAATTTACCGCTAGTTTTTGGCCTGAATCATGATTTTCCTGGACACAAAGGAACCAACATAAAATGCAAAAAGACTTGGCCAGGTGTGGTGGCTCATGCCTGTAAACTCAGTACTTTGGGTGGCTAACGTGGGTGGATCACTTGAGGTCAGGAGTTCGAGACCAGCCTGGCCAACATGGTAAAATCCTGTCTCTACTAAAAATACAAAAATTAGCCAGACGTGGTGGCAGGCACATGTAGTCCCAGCTACTTGGGAGGCTGAGGCAGGAGAATTGCTTGAACCCGGGAGGCGGAGGCTGCAGTGAATCGAGATCACACCACTGCACTCCAGCCTGGGCAACAGAAGCAAGACTCCATCTCAAAACCAAAAAACAAAAAAACTAAAAGACTCAGACTGATTTAAGACTAGAACTCTTACCCATAATCTGTAACTTTATATTTGGTTCCATCAAAACTATTCCAATATTCTCTCAAGTGATTAATGTAAATATACAGAATATATTTGTACTAACAAAACACTCCTTTTATCAGTTTTACATATTGGGGTTTCTTCCTTGAAGAATTTTGATGCTTTTTTTAAAAAGCTATTTTTTTTAAAGAAAGCTTTAGAAACCACAGTGCTAGAATTCTTGAGAGAGCCACTAAAATACTATAAAACTTTGCTGAGTGTCTGGTTCCCCATTTTAACTTGTGTCCATTGGAGGAAATCTAAACCACTGTGTGTCCCAGGTTCATGATTATTTTTAAATGCCCAAAAAGAAATAGTCACTGTGCCCCTAAAAAGGACGGGAACATTCAATGACCTACAGTCTCTCTTACGCCCACTCCACTAAGCAGGCTCCCCCTCCTCAGTAGAAAGGATGGGCAAAGAGAGACTGAGCCATGTCCCCACACCACACTATGGGTGGTCGCTCCTCTCTTGGTTTCTCTGTATTGTGATTTCCTCTCTACAAAATTGGGACAATGAAGCTGACTCAATGTGGATGCTCTGCGGCCTGCCACCTGCCCCTGACGCCTGCTCTTCTCACAAAAGCGGGCAGTGGCCCCAGCAGGCTGGCACTCACTCTCAGGGGGCATGGGCCCACTGTCAATGCTGCCCCCGTGACCTGGTGTGTTGCAGAAGGGTGGGGCCCAGCCCGGCAGGCAGTGGCAGTTCTGGTTGTTGTTACAGACCTGGAGCGAAGAAAGAGCAGAGGCATCAGCACCCCTGAGAGCGTCAGCCACCCACAGGGCCTGCCCCCATGACGCCCCCATGATACAGAGAAGCCAGAACCCAGCACGCACCCCATGGCCATTGCACTTCTTCCCGCAGCCTTCGGTTTCAAAGAAGGAGGTGTTCCTGCACTGCCCCTCGAAACAAATCTGCAGGGGGAGAAAACGGATGGATCGGTGCAGTGAGAGGGACGCTGGTTGGGGCTTAGGAGGCATGGCTTTGCCCTTAGAACATATGAGGACCCATGGCCTGGTACGGTGGCTCACACCTGTAATCCCAGCACTTTGGGAGGCCAAGGCGGGTGGATCACCTGAGGTCAGGAATTTGAGACCAGCCTGGCCAACATGGTGAAACTCCGTCTCTACTAAAATTACAAAAATTAGCTGGGCACGATGGCCTGTACCTGTAATCCCAGCTACTCAGGAGGCGGAGGCAGGAGCATAGCTTGAGCCCAGGAGACAGAGATTGCAGTGAGCAGAGATTACGCCACTGTACTGCAGCCTGGGCGACAGAATGAGACTCCGTCTCAAAAAAACAAACAAAAAAACCGTATGAGGACCCAAAAAGGCAGCCCACTTCAGGTTATTATCAAAGCGAAAAATGGAAAACCGTCCATAACGCTAAGGACGGGACAGCAGTCAACTAAATTTGCAATTACTTTTGTGATTAGGGAGAAAACAACAAATATCTTGTTGAAGTATCATATTTAACAATAAAATATGTATTACTGCATACACCTATTATGTTGATGATATTAATTACTTGTCATTAATATGTACTAATTTTAATATCATATCTAAAAATGATGATGGTGACAGTACTCTGTGCCAAGTGCTATGCTAAATGCTTCCTGTTTTTCACAGTTTCGTGGTCAGAACCGACTCTCTGAGATGGTTACTATGATTCTGCTCAGGCCTCCCTAACTCCTAGTCCATTTTTAATTCCCATGATAATTAAGGATGAGGATAAAAGTGGCATTAGCTAGGCCACCTAAGTGCTTTACCAGGGTGATTTTCTTTCATCCTTCTGACAGTTCTCTGGGGTGGGTGCCTGCTGTCACTATAAAGCATCACAAAGGGAGCCACTGAGGCTCTGAGGTTGGGGAGGTGGCATCTGAGCCCAGGCGTCCTTTCCACAGTGCTCACTTCTTGATCCCTGCTCTGCAGCCTGCTCCTGGGTGAGCTGGGGGAAGGGACTCACATGGTTGTAGCCGCACTTGGTTCCGGTCATCACCAGGCCTGGGTCCAGCATGTCACTTTCCTCCTCAGGACCTCGGTAGACGTGGGTGCCCCGGCACTGGATCTGCCTCCCATTCATGATGATAGTGGTGTCGATGGGCACCGCGTTGGACTCCAGGGGCCGGGCCTCGGAGCTCTGACACTGGATCTTCCCACACTTTGCATCTCTGCGCACGAGAGACAGGGAGGGAAGGAGGTGGAATCAGAGGCAGGGGAAGAGCTGGGGCACCAGAGCTTCAGTCTTTCTTGACCAAGACAGCAGGCTTGCGTGGGGTGGGGCAAAGGTTGAGGGCAGTTATATGCTTTGGAGGCCCACACGGAGAGAATCCATGTAGACTGACACCAAGGGAAGAGAACAGGCTTCCTGACTTGAGCAAATCTAGACCAGAGAACTGGCCTCGAAATGTCCTCTACTCCAAGAACAGCCCCGTAAGCTGAGCAATCTGTCCCTTTTTGCTCCTTACCCTGCCATCCACCCAGGAGCTCCAGCCAGAAATCTGGGGTCATCTCCAAATCCCATTCTCCCTCACTCCTGGGCTCCAGCCATTTTCAAACCCTACCAATCTTCCCTCCTATATATCTACCTTAATTCATACTGCCCCACCCCCTTACCTGGTCTGCAGAAGACTGATTTGCCTGCCTCCAGTCTTGCCCCAGAGGAGTCGAATTTCCACGCTGCTCTCAAGCTAAAGTCCAAACTCCCCTAGCCATGCATTTGAGGCTTTTCATGATCTGGTCCATGCTAAACTATCCGGGCTAATTTCTCAGCGGACCTTCTCCTTTGCACCCCAACATTATACTGTAACTGTATCGAACAGCAGACCTTCTCCTTTGCACCCCAACATTATACTTTAACTGTATCGAACTGGTCTCAGTTCTTTCAACTGCCAGTTTTTCTCTACTCATCTCTCTTCCTGGATCATGCCCATGAACCAGTACCACTTTCCACCCTGTTCACCTAGGTAACTGTTCCAGATCTCAGTGTAGGTACACTTTCCTTTGGGAAACCATTCTGACACACTAAGATGGGGTGGGTGGCTCTCTTCATATTCCCATTATTATACTGTATTGTTAATTAAAAGTACCATGCACTCAGCACAGTATCTTACACATGGTAAATCTTCAACAGACAGTAGATGAATAGATGGATAGATGGATGGATGGATGGATGGATGGATGGATGGATGGACAGATGGATGGATCAGTGGGTGAGTGGGAGCTGGAAGGATGGATGGATGGATGGATGGATGGATGGAGGGATCAGTGGGTGAGTGAATGGTGGATGGATGGATGGATCATTGGGTGAGTGGGTGGTGGATGGATGGATGGATCAGCGGATGAGTGGGTGGTGGATGGATGGATGGATCAGTGGATGAGTGGGTGGTGGATGGATGGATGGATCAGTGGATGAGTGGGTGGTAGATGGATGGATAGAACAGTGGGTGAGTGGGTGGTGGATGGATGGGAGGATGGATTAGTGGATGGAAGGATGGATCAGTGGGTGAATGGGTGGTGGATGAATGGATGGATAAGTGGATGAGTGGGTGGTGGATGAATGGATGGATCAGTGGGTGAGTAGGTGGCAGATGAATGGATGGATCAGTGGGTAATGGATGGATGGAAAGATGGATCAGTGGGTGAGTGGGTGGTGGATGAATAGATGGATCAGTGGGTGAGTGGGTGGTGGATGGATGGATAGATCAGTGGGTGAGTGGGTGGTGGATGGATGGGAGGATGGATCAGTGGGTGGTAGATGGATGGACGGATCAGTGGGTGAGTGAGTGATGGACGGATGGATGGATGGAGGGATCAGTGGGTGAGCAGGTGATGGATGGATGGATGGATGAGTGAATGAGTAGGTGGTGGGTGGTGGATGGATGGATCATCAGTGGGTGAGTGGGTGATGTATGAATGAATGGATGGATGGATGGATGGATAGATGAGTACCAGATGGGTGGATGGTTAGTTGGACTGAATGATGAATGAATGAATGAGTAAATTAATGAATGAGGACCTATTCAAATTAGGGCATGATTAGCATTTTGCAGAAATGACCCAAAAGGACTGATTCCATGCCCTACTATAAAATGGTCCCCAAAAGAAGCCTGATCAGCTTTCTAGGAAGCAGTGCCACCCACACCCTCCTCTGATTTCCTTAGAGCTGAATGGTGCATTGTCAAACAGGGAGCCAAGAATAGATGACTGACTTCAACTGATTTACACAAAGGTGCAGCTCTGGGGCCAGCCATGCTGCTGAGCTGGGCAGCAGTGAGTACAGAGCAGAAGTGGCTTTGTCACCCTTATTTCATAGGGCCCACCCTTTGGTCATCACCTCATGTTGCACTTCCTGTGTTCACCATTCATGTCCTTTCCACAGTTTCCAAAGGTGTCTCCGGCCACATTCACCTTCTCGAAGCAGAGGTCAGGGGCAGGCCGGGCTCCTGGGTGGGTAAGCAACATCTATCAGTACACTTGCCTGTCAGAAGCCCCCAAGGGCAAAGGTACCTTTGGTAAAATCGTGAAGTGAAGAGTATTTTCTGGGGGGGAACACTGAGCCTCTTCTTCCTGTTCCCTGTCAGGTTACTCCATCCCCACATTCTCATCAAGACCCTTTCAGAGAAGAATGTTTTATATAAACTCTTCCTACCTTATTGAGGAGTTATATCTGTGTGTGGGGAGGGTTGATGTAGAAGCCATGTCTCGTTTCAAGATTTTAAAAAATAGGTCATACATGCACAATATTTTAAAGACATAAGTATGTCTTGGAAAATTTTTCTTGTAGTCATCTAGTTCCTACTTCTCTACATCCTGGAGAAATAGTACTTATAACAGTGTATTTTCTAAAGATACTTATATGTCTAAGTTCTATATCTCCTAGGTATAATTCTGTGTGTATCTTCTAGAGATAATCTATCTAATAAAGAATGGAAGCATATCAAGGGATTCTCCTGTCTTCGCCTCCCAAGTAGTTGGGATTATAGGTATCCACTACCACGCCTGGCTAATTTTTGTATTTTTGGTAGTTACAGGGTTATTCCATGTTGGCCAGGCTGGTCTTGAACTTCTGACCTCAGGTGATCCACCGGCCTCGGCCTCCCAAGTACTTACTGGCATTACAGGCATGAGCCACTGTGCCCAGCATTTTTTTTTTTTTTTAAAGAGATGCTATCTCACTCTGTCACCCAGACTGGAGTCCTTCAGTACGGTGGCTCACTGCAGCCTCAAACTCCTGGGCTCATGCCATCCTCCCCACTCAGCCTCCTGAGTAGCTGGGTTTACAGGTGCAAGCCATCACATCTGGCTTGGAAGCACATTTTATTCACTGTTCTACACCTTGCGTTTTCACTTAATTTTTTGTGGAAGATAATTTTATTCAGTAAATATAGGGCTGCCTCCTTGTTTAGCCACAAAGCATTGCATTATGTGAATGTACCAGAGCTAATCGGTCCCTACTGAACGACACATAGTTTGTTGTTGGCATAGCTGACATGGTGCAGTAAACAACTGTGTAAATATATCCTCAACACATGTACAAGTAAGTGCTAGCTTCGTTTCTAAGTATACCTCCAAATTGCTTTTCATAGGGGTCATACCTACCTGTTTCTTCACACCCTCCACAACACTGTCTCATTATTATTGTTGTTATATTATTATTACATTAACTCTCAGTCTTTACAATCTGATATATGAAAAATCTCACCTCATAATAATTATAATTTGCTTTCAATTAATATGACCGAGGTTAAAGCTCTTTTCATAGCTTAAGGGCCATTTGCATTTGCTTCTCTGTCTCCATCCTCTGCTCATTTTCTTTTGGATTACTCATTCATCTGTCCACTCTGAGAATGAAAAGCATCAAGGGACTGGGAAGAAACACTGTCCTCTGCTTCTCTCTGAACATCTAACCTGAGTCAAGGGGATAAAACAGGTAGTATCTAGAGGTGCCATCCTGAAGCCAAGATTCCAAGCTACTCTGAGGGCAGGGGAGGCTGGCTGGGAGACAGTGAGCTGGGGAGAGCCATGTTCCCCAGGAGAGCCTTACCGGGTCCCCACAGCTGTTGGCACTGCTCCTGGTAGGTGAGGCACATGCCGTTGTAGCAGTAGGCCTGGCCACCCTCACAGGGGGTACCATCCATCTGGTAGAAGTTGGTAGGGCAGTGGGGAGACTTGCCCGTGCAGAACTCCGGGAGGTCACACTGCCGGGCCTGCTCACGGCACAGGGTCCCAGGAGCCAGCAGCTGAGCCAAGGAACGAGAGGAAACACACAGTCAGTCTCCTCCCTGCCCTCAACCCTGCTGCCCAAGGGCTATAAGCATCACTCCCACGGAACAGAAGTTTCCATCACCATGATTTCCATCACCAGCACTTTTGATATGACCTCATTAGCCCAAACCATCTTCAGCCTTCCCACAGGAATACTGGCAGAATTTCAAGGTGTTTTCACAAATGCTATCTCACTTTCTCTTCATAGCAGTCTTAAGAAAGAGGCAAGAAATAATACGTGCACAATTTACAGTTCACCACATGCTTTAGTAATAGCTGCTTTTATGCAGCTCCCACTGAAGTGCCCAGTACAAATATGACTTCATTTAGTTTTCATGACAGTCCTATGTAATATAATTATCCCTCCTACAGATGATAACATATGTAGGCTTAAAGAGGTTAGACTATGTATCCCAAGTCTTATAAGTGGCAGAGGAGCCAGACCCGCTAACACACACACACAGACACACCCCTAGCATTCACAGAACATCTGTGAGTTTACAAAGCACCTCAGCAATAATCCATCCCCACTATGGAGCCGGGCACTGGGCTGAGTATGTGACATACACATATCTTGTGGGATCCTCACAACTTCCATGAGATACATACTGCTATTTGCCCCACATTGCAGATCAATAACTTGCTCAGCAGCACACCTGGGGCAAAGGGTGAAGATTTTTAGAGCCTCCCTGAGTAATCAGTGTTACTAATACTCACCCCATTTTCCAAATAAAGAACCTATGCTTAGTTAATAGGTTGCCCCAAATCACATAGTCAAAGTCAAAGTCTCGGACACCAGGGAATCCTTTCTGAGGCTCAAACTGAAATTCTTGGGTGCAATGAAGGGGTCCACTCCAGGCTTATGCTTAAGCCTTGGCCAAGAGTGGAAGAACTTGACCCAGCACAGCCTCCCTGGGGGAAGCATGGCCAGACCAGATGCTGTGCAAATTCTGACAGCCAGGCTAGGAAACCTGTGACTGAGAATAGAGCCCCCTCCCCTGCTCCTGGGCAACTCCTCCCCACTCACAGGCTCCTCCCGGGAAAGAAGGCAGACAGCCTTCTCCACTGACCAGGCTCAGGCTGAGAAGCCAGCTGAGCAGCTTGCTGAGTGGATGCCCAGTTGCAAGTGTGGGCAGGGAAGGTATATGCAGGAGGAAGCTAGAGGACACACCTCTGCCACCCAGGGCCAGGTGGGGGCAAAGAGGACCTGCCTCAGAGCCAGCCTGCCTGGGCACAAATCCCAGCTCCTTAACCATCAGCAGGGCCTTGGACATCTGCTGTGTAACCTGTGTGTGCTCACTCACCCACAACTCAGGATGGTGACCTACTCATGGGGTGATTAAACATGAGTTAGAACAAAGTATGTGAATGGTAATCTGGCACATGATGGGCACGCAGCAAGTGCTGGCCAGATGCCCGGGCCCACAGTTCCTGCCTAAAATGTTGGGGCCAGATGGGGTTCAGGCTTTTCAGATTTAGAAAGCAGGCACTATAATACATAGGTCCATATGTATATGGATGTACATATATAATTACACATGTATATATATATGGATAATTACACATGTCTGCATATATAACTACATATGTATATTATATAACCCCTCAGCAAGGCCGGGGATAACACCTTCTGATCAAACATATTAATATTTCTGCAATGCAATATAAATATTCACTTTAGGAGTGATTTTTTTAAAAGATTATAATTTGTCTCATGTCAATCCAGGTCAAGTTTTGTCACCAAATATGTTTACATTTTTTTTTTGGCTTTTAGAACTCTCTGAATTTCAGAACTGTGGATTCGAGATTGTGGTTCTACAGTAACGCTAGCGGTAATGGACGATTTATCTCCCACGTCAATATTACAGAAGTGGGCTCCAGAGTCAGGGAAAGCTGGATTCAGGCCCTTCCTGACTGCCTGATTCCCAATAAACCTCTTATCCTTGATAAGTGCTAGTTTCCGCATCTTAAAATGAGGATGATAACATATATTTTATGGGGTTTTTGTGAGGAACAAATGAGATAACGTACATAAAATTCTCAGCACAGTGCCTGGCATCTACTAAGAGATCCATTAATGCCAATACAGATTATGATAATTATTATTGTTTATGAACTCAGTAAAATCAAGACCACTCTCTCTGGACACATCTTTAAATAATAATAATTTTAAAAATACCATTCCGAAAGAGCCACCAGACGCCTCTGGGATGATCTGAATTCAGTGCGGCCCAGTATATGAATAGCAAATTTTATTCAAGGCACCTTTCCTGCTCCATGTTTCTGAAACTCTTGCCATCACTCCCCCAGGATGCAGGCAAATCCCCAGCAGAGCAGTCCTGTAGTCCTGCTGTCAGATCAGGGCCCACAGCGCTGAGGAAGGAGGGGCCACTTACCTTACACTGGTGGCAGCAGGAGCCGTGGGCACACTCTGCCCCTGGCCTCAGGGTGCAATTAGAGGCATTGCAGCAGGGGTTGTTACATTCCTGGGGAGATAGTGGGGTGGGTGTGAGTGGGGGAGGGCCTTTACCACCCCCAACACTTTCCCCAACCCCTACCTCTATAGCCTGGGAACCCCAGCTCTCTAGCAACTCTTTTTTTTTTTTTTTGAGACAGAGTCTCGCTGTCACCCAGGCTGAAGGGCAGTGGTACAGTATCTCAGCTTACTGCAATCTCTGCCTCCTGGGTTCAAGCGATTCTCCTGCCTCAGGCTCCCAAGTAACTGGAACCAGAGGTGCATGCCACCATGCCTGGCTAATTTTTGTATTTTTGGTAGAGACTGGGTTTTGAACTCCTGACCTCAAGTGATCCGCCTGCCTTGGCCTCCCAAAGTTCTGGGATTATAGGCACCAGCTACCGCATCTGGCCTAGAAACTCCTGATCTCAAAAATCATGTGACAGCTTTGTCACTAAGCTAGTGTGCATTTATCACAAGAACCATATATATGCACAATCATTAGTAACATGATTTGGACACAGCTACGTTTGTTTTTTTTTTTTTTTTTGAGACAGTCTGCAACCTTCTCCTCCTGATTTCAAGTGATTCTCGTGCCTCAGACTCCCAAGCAGCTGGGATCACAGGCGCATGCCACCATGCCCGCCTAAGACACAACTACATTTTGAGTGTGAATATTTTCCCAGGCATTTTCTACACACATGCATATGTATTTACATTTATTTTATAAAATCATAGCATCTACCGTGTTTTGTTTTGTTTTTAATTGCACTTTAAGTTCTGGGGTACATGTGCAGATCTTGCAGTATTGTTGCATAGGTACACACATGCCATAGTGGTTTGCTGCCTCCATCCCCCTGTCGCTACATCAGGCATTTCTCCCAATGTTATCCCTCCCTGCTTTTTCACACCCTGCTGTCCCTCCCCTAGCCCCCCACCCCACAACAGACCCCAATGTGTGATGTTCCCCTCCCTGTGTCCATTTGTTCTCATTGTTCAACACCCACCTATGAATGAGAACATGTGTGTGGTGTTTGGTTTTCTGTTCTTGTGTCAGTTTCCTGAGAATGATGGTTTCCAGATTCATCCATGTCTCTACAAAGGACATGAACTCATCCTTTTTTATGGCTGCATAGTATTCCATGGCATATATGTGCCACATTTTCTTTGTCCAGTCTATTTTTGATGGGCATTTGGGTAGGTTCCAGGTCTTTGCTATTGTAAACAGTCTCTCAATGAACATACATGTGCATGTGTCTTTACAAAAGAACGACTTATAATCCTTTGGGTATATACCCAGTAATGGGATTGCTGGGTAAAATGGAATTTTATTTCTAGGTCCTTGAGGAATCACCACACTGTCTTCCACAATGGTTGCACTAATTTACACTCCTACCAACAGTGTAAAAGTGTTCCTATTTCTCCACATCCTCTCCAGCATCTGTGTTTTTAACTTAATATGACATGCATATTTCTCCCTGTAACCATGTATTCTTCTAAAACTGACTTTTTAGCACAGTATATGGAAATGTTATGATTTTTCTTTCTCATCCCCAGTAGAGCATCCACTTTGTCTTTCATGGGCGCCCTCCTGCCCCAACCCTCCTTGCCTTTCTTATCTCGTAAAAAGGGGCTGGCGGTGCAAGGGCCTGCTGGGACAGCCTCTCTGGATAGTTTATGTCAACTCCTGGGCCTGTTTCCTCAGACTTCCTTCTCCATCTTGCTTCCCTTCCTAAGCCCTTCCTGGCCTGGACCTTTCTGGAACAGAGGGTCTCTAAGGTTTCTTTGCTCTCCTCTCTTACTTCCTTCTCCCCAGCCTGAGATTTTCAAAAGATGATCAGGAGCTCCAGTGACCCTGAGTGTCCTCATCACACTCTTACAGTAGTCACAGGCCAATCCATCAGCCAGTGATGAGTGTGTGGGCTTCCACACATCTCTCCACCACAGCCCTATGAGGCAGCCTTGTCCCCATTCCACAGATGGGGATGCTGCAGCTCAGGCAAGCCCAGTGGCTGACCAGGGGATATGCCTGCCGAATTCAAGTCAGGTCTACCTGGGGCCCGCCTCAGGCTTATCAGCCTCATCATACCCATAACAGTCTGGAGCTCTAGCCTATGGAGAGCCACATCCCATCCCGACCACAGACACCTGTCCACCTGTCTCCCCCAAGAGAAGAAACACAACACTTTCCTCCAATTAATCACCCACCATGCTGGGCTCCATGTTCCTGCCTTCCTAAAGTACCATATTTCTTCCCACCAAGGCACAGGCTCCCTTTCCACCTGCCTTCCCTCCTGCATGCCTTGCCAACTCCTAACACAGTCTTTAGATAGGGGTTCCACGTCACCTCCCACCCAAGCAAGGAGGTTCCCCCTCACATTATATATGTTCAAAGCGCTGTGTAATTTGTCTTCCTAGCATTTGCCATGGACCATACATATATTCTTTTGCAATTATTTCAATCTGTGTTCCCCCCACTAGACTATCAGCTCTCAAAGGACAGGAACTATGTCATTTTTGCCATTCATCCTAACCTTAGGACCAGACACAGTAGCCCACACTCAGTGTATCTGTTGAATGAGCAGCTGCTCAGAACATAAGCCAGCTGGCCAAATCCACTCTCAGCCCATTCCTCAACCCACTGGGCCCTGCATCCTCAGACCACTCCCTCCTTTCTGATGGGTCTGGGTTGATCTCTCTGAGCTCACAGTGGTGGGGTGGCATCCTTGACTAGTTCTTGTTTTATTCTGAAAGTTACATGCTGGCATTAAAAACAGAAAATCACATCATAGAGAAGGTCATAGGCTGGGTGCGGTGGCTCACGCCTGCAATCACAGTACTTTGGGAGGCTGGGGTGGGTGGATCGTCTGAGGTCAGGAATTCGAGACCAGCCTGGCCAATGTAGCAAAATCCTGTCTCTACTAAATATACCAAAAAATAAAAATAAAAATAAAATAACCAGGTGTGGTGGCACACACCTGTATTCCCAGCTACTTGGGAGACTGAGGCAGGAGAATCACTTGAACCCTGGAGGTGGAAGTTGCAATAAGCAGAGATCATGTCACTGCACTCCAGCTTGGGTGACAGAGCAAGACTCCGTTTCAAACAAAACAAAACAGAAGAGGCCATAAAATCAAATTGTTTTTTTCCATATAAACACAACTTCAGTCTCACCCCTTTAATTTACTGTTACTTGTTATCTACCCCAAATTGTTACGCATGTATTAACATATTTTCAGCCTTCAAAATACAGAGATGAAACACTCCAGGTCTGCTTTCTGCAGAACCACCTGCATTTGTTAAAAATGACCAGGGTCTGCCATGTGCCCGCCACACTCACTGCGAAGATCAGAAGGAAGGAGAGTTTACACACAAACAGTTCTGACCCATCTTCCTCCTAGCAGCCCTTTCAAGACCTGACAGCACTTCCTACATCCCCTTTCCATCATCTCTCCTCCAGCCTAAACAGTGCGAGCTTGTTATTTTAAGCATCCTCATAAGGCCCCTGTGCAAGTCCCTGTATCCGGCTGTGTGGCCTCCAGAATAAATTCCGTGCAGCTGGGGGGCCAAGGAGGCATGTGCAGCTCCATGGAGGAAGAGAGAGTCAACATGTCGCGCGATCGTGGTTTCTGGTTAGACCAGATGCTCACAAGGAGAACTGATTGTGGACACTAATGATGCTGACTACAAACTGGAAGAGGCAGCAGAAAGATCCATCTGGAAGGCTTCCTCTCCACATCTTATTTGGCATGCGGTTTTGGATAGCTGTGTGTAGGAAATGCCTGTGACTAAGAAATTTTCAATTGTGTTCTCTTTTGACCTTGAGCTTTGAAATCAATGCAAATTCTTTCCCTCCCGCCAGCATCACTGTGGTCCCTCACCTCTTCTTCTCCACAGTCACACTCTTCCCCATCTTCCAGGTACCCGTTCCCACACCTCCGGCCTCCGTACAGCGTCCTGGTATCTGGCATGTTGGAGAGACACATTCCACCGCCTGACTGCAGATACCTGTCCAGCTCCCTCCTGTTGCATCCATTGAACACTCTGGGAAAGGGGTGCCTGGCAGAGGACAAGGCGGGAATTAGTGGGGAGTCTGAGCGTCCAGCAGTCAGGCAGGTGTCACTCCTGACACCCACAGGGCTGACTCCACCTGGGCTCAGACTCCCATAGTCTCACACACACACATTCTGGCCTTTTAGAACATCTACCAATATATTAATTTAGAATTCTGTCATCCTTAGTGATGAGATATTAACCACATAGCATTTTATTTTTCTCACTTTGCATGGAGGAAGTATTTGTGAATCAGGAGTAGCAATTGCTGCCCATTGCACGAGGGGGCTAGAACAAGGAAAGGGTTGTGAGTGTGTTACAATAGGTCTTCCAAGCCTTAGAGCTTAAGAAAACACCAGCCAACTCAAACTTTTCCTGAAGCTGGTATCAGGTGAATATTCTCTTGCAACAGAGGACCAGGCCAAAAAATGCCAAGATCCTAAGTTTCATTTCTTTTTGGGCCAGTGATCTCATCTCTGTTCTAAGGAGGCAGAGGGCACTCCAAACTCAACCAGCCAGCTCACAAACACATGCTCTTTATCACAGGCGTATGGAAGAGCCTGGGTCCCACTTTGGTAAAAAGGACAAAAAGTACAACCATCTGGGTCTACAAAAGGAGAGTTATCCTGCTCCCAATTCTCTAAACCAATTGAAGGCTAAACCCTCAAAAAACTGGAGGTTTTCCTTCAGTGGGAAGGTATGCTACAAGGCATTTGTTACTAATAATTGTTTATGTATCCAAATTTGTGAATGACTTAAAAATGAATTGGAGTAGTAATCAATATAACTCTCAATCATTTGTCTTCAGATATGCATTTGAGATTTAGAAAGAAAGGGACAGGCTTAATTAACCGTGAGCTCCTAGGGATCTGTACATAACTATGAAGCTGTAGCATAATCTTTTTTTTTTTTTTCTTTTGAGACAGAGTCTTGCTCTGTTGCCCAGGCTGGAGACTGGAGTGCAGTGGCACAGTCTTGGCTCACTACAACGTCCGATTCCCAAGTTCAAGTGATTCTCTTGCCTCAGCCTCCCTAGTAGCTAGGACCACAGGCACATACCACTACACCTGGCTAATTTTTGTATTTTTAGTAGAGACAGGTTTTCACCATGTTGGCCAGGCTGGTCTTGAACTCCTGACATCAGGTGATCCACCCACCTCGGTCTCACAAAGTGCTGGAATTATAGGCATGAGCCTCTGCACCCAGCCAACATCATCCTTTCTACGTCACAGATGAGAAGGTTTTTAAAATGGACACCAGAGCTCTAAGAAAGCTGCATTGTTTCTTGGAGACACTGAAACATTATTCTCTAAGATCATAAGCAGGCCCTAATGGTCTGGGGTGAGGGAACACAAGGTTCCACCATGATGCCTTCCAAAGAATCTGGAAGAACCCAATGCTTTGTGCTACCTGAGTCCAGATGCTAGAAGACAAGTCCTTTGAAGAAACTCTCTAATTCTCTTCAAAAAGGCTCCGGTTTTAAAATGCCCTCATGACCACGGGGAGATGCAGCTGCCTTGCCCTGTTCCTCATGGGTAATGCAGGCTGCAAACTCCCTCAGAAGTCACTGTGGGGTGTGTGGATGGTTCCCTTCTTCACCTTGTTCTGTTCCACTCAAGCTTTCAGTGAAGCCTGGAACTGAAACAGCACTGATCCAACACTCTTGGGATAGAAGAATTAAGGCTTGTGGCTATGATCAAAATGAATCCTCTTCAAAAATTCATGAAATAGGCCAGGTGCAATGGCTCACACCCGTAATCCCAGCACTTTGGGAGGCCAAGGTGGGTGGATCACCTAAGGTCGGGAGTTTGAGACCAGCCTGACCAACATGGAGAAATTCAACCTCTATTAGAAATACAAAATTAGCTGGGCATGGTGGTGCATGCCTATAATACCAACTACTCAGGAGGCTGAGGCAGGAGAATTGCTTGAACCCAGGAGGCAGAGGGTGCAGTGAGCCGAGATCATGCCATTGCATTCCAGCCTGGGCAACAAGAGTGAAACTGTGTCTCAGAAAGAAAATTTATGAAATAAAAAAGATATATATGGCCAAGCCAATTTTGTAACTCAACACCTTAAAACAAAAATTAAGTAAATCTAGGGTCACACCAGCACCAAATCTCCTGCTGAAAACCTAAGTTCTTGCCACACATTTGCCTTGGTCTTCTCTCAATTTCTTTGTTGTAAAAACCACATTTTTTGGTCCCATCAGAAGTAGAAGGGAGCCTCGGTGGGGCCAGCTGTGAGGAACCCCTGGGTCACACTGCCCAGGCGTACCCGCCCCCTCCCCATCCTCCCTCTTCCTGTTCGACTCACCCAGTGGCAGCCGCCATGATGCACCCACCATCAGCCGCACTGGCCGAGCAGCAATCGGCAGAATCGTGGCTCATGCCAAAGTTGTGACCCATCTCATGGGCCATGGTAGCAGCCACACCAATGGCATTCTCGGAGTGATCCTGCTCAGAAGACAGAGTTGAGGTCAAAGTCAAGGGGACAGATCCGCCTCTGCCCCTCATCCCTGCCTTTTCCTTAGCCAAGTCTTATAGGTCTCCACCAATTCCACTGCCACTGAGTGTACAGACATGCCATGTGGGCCTCTGACTGCAAGGCTGAATCTGCTGTCAGTAAGAGGAAATCAAATGCTTAAAAGTCCACGTTTCTGAGTTCTCAAAGGTTGCAGACCACAACTGACCTACTCATGAACTTCCAGACCAATAAACGCTTTCTGAATAAATGAAAGAGGAAGATTTTCCCCCCATTCTTCTTCTTAACGTATCTCTCTCTCCAGACACAAGGGAATTGACACAGAAAACACCACCTTGATTCAAACATACAGTGTACTTGGCTTAGTGTTTCCTGAAAGCCACACAAGACAGATAAACTCCAGGCATAGCACTTTACACACCGTCTGACGTGTACATGTCAGATGCGAAAGCTAAAGAAATCAAGGAGAAAAACCCCAACAGGAAAGAAGCAGCAGAGAGAGATTTACTAAATATGGATGTGTGTTTCCTGCATTATTTCATTTAATTCACATTCTTATCCTAAGATGATCAACTGCAAAGCCATCTGTTTTTTACAGCTGAGGACACTCATTAACTCACCCAAAGTCATACAGCTGTTCTTTGAACCCAACAGGCTCAGACCCTAGAGCCTGTGGTTTTGGCCATCATGTTACTTTGTCAATAAATACAGAATGGATAGAGGGACAGACAGATGGAGAGAAGTCTTCCTTGAAATGCACTTCACAGGTCAGAAATGAAGAGTCAAAACAAATAGTCTCACAAAGTCAGAGTGAATTTCAAAAGAAGGCAGTAATTTTCTAACCATGACTTTGACACGGGTTCTTCTTTCTTAATGACATACATAACAGTGCAAGACCTGGAATAAAAACACTTTAACCTCCAGTCTCTTGGTATTTTCCAGCCCCTGGTTTGGAACATATGAGATCTAGTGATGTGTTCGTGTAATCTCTTGCGGGTTCCTGAGCTTGAAAATACAGAATGAACTATAGTAAATGAAAATTCACCCTTGGGTACCTCCATCTCTTAGAGCTTAATGACTCTATTTCAAACAATTGCCCTTCCTGATGTCAAAGCTTTTTCTGCTACAATAACAAATATCAACTTATTTTTCAAAACATGACCTCTGGTTTGTAAGGCTGTTCAGCACCTTCTGCAGCACATACACATGGTCTGAGACTCACCATGTTGACTCCTCCAGACTGGTACACGGAGCACATGGCCATGAGGGGGGCCAGGCCGATGGTGGTGCCGTGGAAGGACATGCCCCTGCAGGTGGCAAGGAGAGAGGGTGACTGGGGAGGGGACTGAGAGGGCTATTCCAATATGCCCAGGAGTAGGTGGCCATCATGGTGTTCCTTGGCCCCGCTGACTTTCCCAGGTCATTCCCAAGGAGAAGGGCCCTTGTAACGAGGCCAACTGGACAACTTCCAGCTCACCACACCTCTCACTTCCTGTCACCTACTCCCTCATGGCTCCAGAGAAAAACAAAAAGAGAAAGGTCACTTATCCCCCACAATATACCCATAGCCGATTCCTTGGAAGGAAAAGGGCAGGGTGTGCAAAGCTGCGTCGCATTCCTGCTGCACAGGAAAAGGTCAGAGGGAAAGGCTGATGGAAGGGAGGCACAGATTCTGATGCTGAAGTGAATCATGCCCACTTCCACCAGCTGCCAGAATCCAATGCCTGATCCCTGGCTCTGTGGTGTGAGTCCAGAGGTGGTAGGGGTGGGGGCACTGGGGCAGCAGCTGTGGGGCTGATGATGCTTGATTCCCACAAAATCGGGGGCCAAGGAAACAGCTGTGTCCCATCAGGAGCCTCACAAAGTACAGCTGGGTGCAAGAATGAGCTGTTTCTGCCTTTGTTTTGCAATGGGATCCTAATCTTCCAGCAGCAAGCTGCATTTTCTCCAGTTGAACACATCTGTCTTTCAGTTATACACACCCAGGTAGGGGAGAAGGAAAAAAACAAAACAAAAAAAAGACTACCAGTGTTTCTGTGCATGCCAGAAATATAATGCACTTAAAGAATCTATATGGAAATTCATCACATGGTCCTTAACTCCATGTCTGTCTTCTTATCTAGAGCATGATATAACTGACAGCAAGACCATCTTAACTATTTTAGGATCACTAGAACCTAGCACAGAATCTAACACATAGTGGGTCTATAATAAATGTTTGCTGAATTACAGGCAGACTTATCTTCACATAAACAATCTGGAAAGAAATACGCAAAATCTATGCAAACTGATATGAAGTCCTACTAGTTATTTGCCAAATGTTCCAAAGTTCAGGCCAAAACTTCTAATAACCAAAGACTCTTCCTGGGTGAATGTACTGTCATGGAGTAACTACTCACAGCCCAGTTATTTTTGGGACAGTTATTTTTCCCAGTGTCTTTAAAAGGATAAGCCAAGGTTTAAATGATTATTTACTCAGCTATATTTAGGGAACAGAAGAAAAATGGTTTTAAGGCCAGGTACCACGGCTCACGCCTATAATTCCAGCACTTTGGGAGGGTGAGGCAGGCGGATCACTTGAGGCCATGACTTTAAGGCCAGCTTGGACAACGTGGCATAAACCCTGTCTCTGTTAAAAATACAATAATTAGCCAAGCATGATGGCGCATGCCTGTAATCCCAGCTACTCAGGAGGCTGAGGCACTAGAATTGCTTGAGCTGGGGAGGTGGAGGTTACAGTGAGCCGAGATCATGCCACAGGCGACAGAGGGAAACTCTGTCTCAAAAAAGAAGAAGAAGAAAGTGGTTTTATTATCTATATGCCTTTTGTTGTAACTGCCTGAAAATACCTTCAGAAGTCAACACTAATAAACACCAAATAATCACCCTGGGGCACTGTCACATGCTGCTGCCACCCCCATCACTGTCTCTCTGGGGCTGATGAAAATCCAGCACAATCCCTCCTCAAAGTCTCCCTCCCACCAAACCCTCAGTTCCTGCACTGTCTGCCACTTTGACTGTCTCAGACACTCAGCCCTGAGCCCCTTGGGAACCAAGTGAAGGACACAAAGGAGCCCCCTCTCCTGTGCCTGTGTTGAGAGATCAGCTCATGTACTAGAACAAAGCACCAAGAAGATTGAGGTGAGCCTCTTAGAAAGTCTAAGACCTGACCAAGAGTCAGTCACTTCCCAAATACATACTCAATTATTTCAGATGCTCAGCGGAATATGGGTAAGTCTAATTTTCCCTTAGACTGTAAACACTTCTTAGGACTATTATGACTCAGGGTTTTAAACATTTTCTGGGGTATGCTTGGTACAGAGCGCATGTTTAGGAAATGCCTGTCTCTGGACCAGAGAGTCAGAATGGCCTTGTGCAACCAACACTCACCATGGGGCAAACTCTGAGCACGTGCACGGTGGGCAGAGGCTTTGCAGCCAAAGACAACACAACATATGGAAAAAAAGGCTATTTACGTGATTAACTGGGCGTTGTCATGTTTCTTCTGGGAAAGCAGCTTGCGCCTCCAACTAAGAAAGGACCAGAGGGTAGAGTATGGATTCTCTGAAACTTCACACATGTTCCCATGAGTCCACACTTCCAAGCCCACAAGAGCAATCCGGATGTTCAAGGATCGGTAAAACTGAAAGGACACAGGAAAACCACAGTATCTGTCAGTATCACCTGGGATTTAAAAGCCCCTTCCTTTCATTCTGTTGGTGCTTGAGATTAAAAAGAAAAAAGCTAAAACTAAAAAATAAAAATAAATTGAAAAAAAAAAAAAAGCCCCTTTTCAGCCTAAGAGCTCAGAGCACAGACACCAGATTTCTCTTCTGCCCATGGCTCCAAGGGAAGGAGGGAACTGGCGTTATTGACATTTTTTAGAAAGGGAAAATGAGATCTTGAGAGACAGCACAACATTCTGGTGGCAGAACTGCTGTGACTTAGCTTAGAGATGACTGAAACAGAAGATAAAACTGCTTTCAGATATGAATAGGTCTATCATGTGGACAAATGATGAGCGTTGTTCTGCATGATTTTCAAGTAGGGCTTAGGTCAATAGGTAAAACAGACAGAAACATAAATTTCATTTTAAAATAAGAAGAAAGCTTTCAAACAAAGCTGGTCACAAGTAAGCTCAGAGCTGAGCTATGCTGTCTTCTGTAATCAGTGCCCTTGGCCAGGCTGTCCGGTACAATTTTTTTCTCCCAATTCCTTACATGGGCCTTATCTTTCTCATGGGTGTCTAAAAAGTTCTCTTATAGACAAATTTTTTTAAACTGCTTCGTTGAGGTATAATTTGCATACCATAATGCCCACCTACTTTAAGTGTATGACTCAATACTTTCTGGTAAATTTACCAAGTTTTAAAGCCATCACTGGCCAGGTGCCATGGCTCACACCTGTAATCCGAGCACTTTTGGAGGCCAAGGTGGGCGGATCACCTGTGGTCGGGAGTTCGAGACCAGCCTGACCAACATGGAGAAACTCCGTCTCTACTAAAAATACAAAATTAGCCAGGTGTGGTGGCGCAAGCCTGTAATCCTAGCTACTCGGGAGGCTGAGGCAGGAGAATTGCTTGAACCCGGGAGGCAGAGGTTGCAGTGAGCCAGGAGCATACCACTGCACTCCAGCCTGGGCAACAAGAGCGAAACTCCATCTCAAAAAAAAAAAAAAAAAAAAAAGCCATCAACATAATCCAGTTTTAAAATATTTTCATCACATCAGTAAGATCCCTCATGTCTATTTACAGTCATTTCCCATTCTCACCCTCAGCCCCAGGCAAGCATGCATCTACTTTGTTTTTATTCTGCCTTTTCTGGTCGTTTGTTTTACAGTATGTGGTTTTGTGTATCTGGCTTCTCTCACTTACCATAATGTTTTTGAGATGCATCCATGTTGCAGACTGAATCCGTTTCTGATTTCTCTTTGTTGCTGAACAATATTCTTTTGTATGGATATACCAAATTATATTAATACATGGCTACTTTATTATAACATGTCTCCCTCTCATTTTGAAAGTAAACAAGTATAAATGACGTAAAAGTGCATCCATATGCTTACTCTTCAAATTCCCTTCCCCAATCCCTGGATAGTCTCAGGATTTGTCAGGGATACAATAAGCAGGTTGCAAGCAATAGACTCCTTAGTAATCTTCGGGGTTTTGTCCAACCCAGACATCCTAAAATTCTATAAGCAAGATCTGACTCAACCTCCTCAAGGCTAGAGCTGCATCTAATCTGTAGGGCCTGACATCTTTCATCTCATACAAATGTACGCAGGAGGAAGGTTTTCTTTAAAGCTAAACCACTGAAAGGTGTGGGTGCAACGGGTTTTTTGATGGGTTCACCCTACAAATACTAAGCCAGTGACTTAATAAAAAGCCCCACGTATGGGGAGGTCACATGAGCAGGAGATACCACCTTAATCCGAAATTGGTAGAGACTGCCCAGCTAAAAAGAATAATCATAGCACCAACATTTTCCCACCACTTTTTATGTACTAAGCACTGAGGCTTAGAGAAGTTAAGGAACTTGCCCAAAGTCTCAGCAAGAAGATGGTGGAACCAGGATGAAGGCCCAAATCACCACCCAAAGACTATATGTGACCCTTTACTGCTTCAGTGCTATGGTGTCTACACATCCCGATAATCCGCTCACTCCAGACAACGCTGGTCAAGATGGGCTCCAGAGTCAGTGAAATATCAGTTTATTTCAATGGAAATTTTGATTTTTCTGTTTTGTGCCAGTTCAACCATTACAGAAAATTAGAGGTTCAGATTCCAATTTGAATTTGCTTTACTAGGGAGCTTTTAAAAGAAAGTAAACTTGGCTTTTTCTTCAGTTACAGAAAAACATTTTGGATCGGGTTCATGATTCAGCAAATGAGTGCAATTCATTCCAGTTTTAGTTCAGCAATAGTTCAGTTCAAGTAGCTGGGTCAGCAAGTTCCAGAGAAGTGGGCGTGGCTTCCCTCACCCGCCAGGAAAGACTGCACAGGATGCGCGGGCCACCCATGCTTAGGGCTTCCAGTAAGGACTGGGGCTTGCTGGTGCCTCTGTCTTCTCCCTTCATTGTCGCCAGCGCCCTTGGTTCCATCACCTAGCCCACAGAGGGGATACTCAGCCAACTCCCCACCTGCCAGCTCTCCAAACAATAGATGTGTCACATGGGTGAAGGCAGAGTCAGCCTCCCATATTCTCCCCAGGGAAATAAGCTTCCCTTGTTTTCCCAGATGTTGAGTGTTTGGGTTGTATGATGATTTAAATGTTATTTTTGAGTGAGTCAGGAGCTAGAGAGAGGACTGGACTATGTCCCTAGAGTCTATCCTTCCAGGAAATGCCAGGGTTTGACTTCTACCTGTCACTGACCACTGACCTGTGTTTCCAGAGCCATCTAGAGCAGAAAAAAAACATAGGCATAGAAACCGCCATCCGATGACTTCAGAACACGAATATATTTGTTTATTAATCCCTAAAAAATATTTTAAGTGATCTCCTATATGCTCTAGTGTTTAGAAAAAAACGATTTTCCCTTTAGGCCTGGAATTCATGAATCCCTAGCAGGCCCAAGGTTAAGCTTCATTAATTTTATGAGTGTTCTAAAATTGCTCAATAAATGTTACCAGATTCTCAAAGAGACCTGTGATCCCAAACACATTAAAGCCTACTTTTAAAAACTATATGCTTTATCCTACCAAGAGGCTACTGTCATTCTAGGTTACCTATTCTGCATTTTCTACTATAACAAATACCCTCTTTCACATACACAACGTATTTCCAAGTCCCAGACCAGCCTGTTTCAGTAAAATTCAAAAATGTAGTTATTTCCCAAAAACATCTTCTAAAAGGTCCTAACCTAGGAAAGCTAACCATTTGCACATCCTTCCTAAGAGACAAGACATAATTTTAGGATAGTTTTACAGATGGAGACTTTACAGATTAGCCCCAAGCAACCCACTTCTCAAGCAGCCTGCTTCTCAACTTTTAAGGCTGTGTGTCTTTCCCACTCCGCCATTTCAATTCCCTCCTAAGTCAGACAATACTTGGGCTTATTTCTGGAAGGAACGTTAAAGAACCTTACAGGATTCTTAAACCGGGCTCTTCCATGCCCCAAGCCGCTCGGGAGCCCCTGCAGGGGTAGGAGGAAGGGGTCAGGAGGACAGTGTTCTGGGTCCTCACCCCTGCTCCTGCTTAGAGCAGTCTGTTTTCACCCAACTTTTATATTAGGCATTGGCATAAGATTTCATTTTTTTAAATTCCACAAGAAAAATAAAAATAACAACAACAAAAAAATCATGGATTTAGGACAGACCTTCTAAGATGAAAACAAAACAAAAAAATTGCAACCCAAAGAAAATGAGTTACTTGCCTAAGAATACATAGTTCAGGGCTCTGTCATGACCGCCCTGGGCCTCTATGGCATTGCTCACTCCCTTCCAGAAGCTGGCTGGGGCGGCCAATCCAGCAGAAAGCAGCTCCGGCGCCCTTGGAAGTGCTGGCACCTGGCACCTTTCCCACAAAGTACACACCTGGTCTCACCTTATCAACGTAGTTGGCGATCTCAATGAGCTTGTGTTTGGTGGCGTCCTGGTCTCGTCGATTCTTCTGAAACTAAATGCAACAAGCAGAATCATGTGAGATCCCAGAGCCTCTTGCAGAACAATTCCTGTGCCCCATTACTTATCTTTGAATTTGCTCTTATTTTCTTCTGTCTTCTATGAGCAGTCATTTTTGTGCAATTGTCTTCCCCGCCACAGAAAGAGCTTATGGAGGGCAGGACCTGCCACATCCATCTTCATGTCCCCAGCTACTAGCTCAGCACAGCACACACAGTAGGCATGCAATAATTATACTTATTGAATTGCCTTCCTCTAACCCTTGAAGCACATCTTATTCTCCTGCCCTTCAAACTACAAGGCCTCTGGCAAACTCCCACTGGGGCTTAGGAGGACTGATCCAATCCTCACTTTGGTCATCACCCCAACATGAAGCCACCATCACATAGATCTCACGAGGCCTCCCTACATGTGGTCAATCAGCAATGCTCGAATTGTTGCCGAATGCCTGCTGTGGGCAAGGAATCGTGCTTAGCCTATGTAGGACACAAAGAAGGGTGAGATCTTGGACCTAAGCCTAGAGGAGCTTCAATTAAAACAGAAATGACCAGAAATAACTGTGGCAGATCCTGAGTGACAGATCCTGTACTTAAGGAGTATACAATTGAAATGGTCTAAGAACACCTGCTGGGAAAATGTGCACAGAAATAACCACAGTGGGAGGCCATGTGCATGACATGAGTGCTAACAATGAGGACCATATGACACAGGCAAATAGACTTCATCTTGCACGCCACTCAGACCCACTGGCAGTGCCTCCTACAGTGAGAGGAATTCTCAGACTGCATCAGATTCAATCAGACCGACCTTCCTTCCTTCCTTCCTTCCTTCCTTCCTTCCTCTCTTTCTTTCTTTCCTCCTTGTTTCTTTCCTTCCTTCTTTCTTTCCTTCCTTTCCTTTTCTTTTTTTCTTTTTGAGACGGAATCTCACTCTGTCGCCCAGGCTGGAGTGCAGTGGCACGATCTCGGCTCACAACCTCTACCTCCTGGGTTCAAGCAATTCTCCTGTCACAGCCTCCCAAGTAGCTGAGATTATAGGCGTGCACCACCATGGTCAGCTAATTTTTGTATTTTTAGTACAGACTGGGTTTCATCATGTTGGTCAGGCTAGTCTCAAACTCCTGACCTCAAGTGATCCGTCTGCCTCAGGCTCCCAGCCACCGCGCCTGGCCACAATCAGACATTTCCAACCAAGCATAGGAAAGAAAGCTGTGTTCCATTAGAAATATCTGCCATGGGTACCAGAAAGTGGACATTTCAGTGTGAATACCTCCTATTTACCATTCCTGCCTCAAAAAGACAGATCTGTCTCAGCTACAATAATGAAGGAAATCTTCACTGTGTAAAGAGAAAAATCTGCTACAATTGCCGATTCAATTTGCAAATGAAGGGCACGTCCTATACACTGCCATTGTTACATAGAATCTGGGTCCTCTCTAATTTACCTTGGGCGTCCACTATACATGTTACCTCAGTTCCAAACCTTCACGTCCTTTTCCTCCACCCAATCCCGCAAGAGTAAGCAAGAAACAAGAACAGCCAAGTAAAACACCCATATTTGTTTGGCCAGAGGTGTGTCCCGGCCCTGATACAGGAAAGAAATCCACCATTTCCCTTTTTCCCATTGCTCATGGACATTCTTAGGCTTCCTTAAAACTACCACTCATCAGAAGGGAATCTGTCACCACCGTTTTCTGGAGTTAGATTCAGTGTGACACCGTCACTTTGACCTTTCCAAGGTGTTAATCCAGACGTTTCTCATTATAGAGACCTCCCATTTCTAAATTGGTCTCTCGGTGCAGACAGTGTTGCAGCATTTCCATTCATTTAGTAATATTTATGAGAACATCAGGGTCAGATTTCATTGTCTTTCAAAGAAATGTTAACCTTTTCTTCAAAGAACTGCCCAATGAGACCACCATAATTTAAGGAACGTATTCTGCTGAAGCAGGAGTCGGCAAACCTTTTCTGCAAAGGCCAGGTTAGGCTTTGCGGCCATATAATCTCTGCTCCAACTCCTCAACTGTGCAGTGGTGGCTTGGAAACAGCCCTGGATAATACAGAAACCAATCTTTTACTGCAACACAGCCTGGTTGTGTTGCAGTAAAAGAGTCTTTGCAAAAACACAGAATGGGCTGGATTTGACCATGGCGTATAGGTTGCAGACCCCTGATCTGAAGAAAGGACTGGCGCAAGCTCACATTTTCTAGGGTGACAAAGCAAGTACCACATGCAGCACCGTCCTTTCCCAGACAGTTTGCACTGTGCCAGCATCATGGAGACCCTTTACAGGCCTGTGCTTACAGCTATCCTGTCGACCCTATGACAACAGCCCACCTTGCTCTTTATTCCTCTTTGGACTCCATTCCACCTGGGGAACGAATAAGCTGAGAACCACCCTAGAAGCTCCCACCTAGGCCCAGGGAGTGAGGAGCTGTCTGCTCATTTTTGCTGCTGACAACTCTTTCTCTAGGCAGCAGCAGTGTCTCGCTCTCCCCATCTGTGTCTCCACTCCCTCCTCTGTGTTCAGAGCCCCGAGGTGAAAGCTGTCCTGTTTCTGCAGCAGGTTATAAATCCTAGTAAAGCAGCCCTCCCCTTTCCTGCCTTCCCTTCCTCTCAAATTAATTAATTGTCAAGAAGACGTTTCTGTCGGCAGAGGATGGAGACAGGTGGAGAGGGGTGGAGAGTGGGTGATTGGTGAGCCTGTGAACCCAGCCTGGTCTGTTACACCCCCACCCTAGTCTCTCACATGAATCATTCAAAGCTTTCAGCGGAGGGGTGCCCAGGACTCTGAGAAGTGAGCACATTCCCTTATCCGCCACAGCTGCATGAATCACAGCCCTGTTGGGAACCCAGGGCTGTTGCTGAGACACTCTCCTTTGTAAGAGAAAGATGGCTCTGGGTGACACCAGAGTCCTGGAGGCACCTTGAGCAGACACTTTTTCTCTGGAGGTGACCTGTGACCCTAGAGGTCAGGATATAGAAGATGCTTAATCCCTGCCTCCCACCATGCTGCCCACTCCTCCAGCTGCTGGAGATTCACACCCAACGGGTTTTAAACTCTGCACAGGGATTCCTCTGGGAACAGTGTAAAGCCAAAGGTGAGAAACACCCCACCTTTACACTAGAGCAGCTGGGATCTACATGCTTAACTATTGGGGTTCTCAGGAACTTCCACCTAACCAAAGGATTCTGTAGCTGGGAAAAAATGACTCAAGATCTTTGTATTAGATGATCACAGATGCAAAGCTTAAATGGAAGAATGTCCCAGAGTCAGAGGAGCTCAGTTTTCTTCCACCGGTCCTCCACTATGGGCAGTCATACAGAGCAGGCCAGTCAGTTACCTCCTCCCACAACTGTGGAGCCCCAGCTGGCTTTTAAACCAGCTTTGGATTTTGCTCCTCACACTATTCCCCCACCCTACACACACACTAGTCTTTGGAGAGGAAACAGAAAACATAGAACACACGCACATGCGCGCACACACACACAAACAGCTGTTGGAAAAACCAGTACCAGCATCAATTAAAAAGCTAAACACTTTTCAAAGCAGAGCACAATGTTTCCTCGGCCCGGAATGCCCTTCACCTCCACTCCTCTGCCCCGTTAACTCCTCCTTGTCTTTCAAGACAGCCCAAGGGCTACCTCCTTCTGCCACTAACATCCAGTGACTAACACTCGAGGACCTTCTGGCCTGCAGCCTAGTGCTCTTCCCACTACCGGGCCTCTAGGACACATGCTTTGGAATTGCGACTAGCTTCAGTCAGCCTTAGAATGAGGTCTTTGGGGAGATGGTAGCTAAACCATGTGGACGGGATACAGACAGACTGGGGTTGCGATGGGCTCTATCCTCAGGGGACACCGAGGCCAGCGTGTGCCCTGCTTGAACACAGCAAGTGCTCAGCTCATAATGACATCGAATGCACAGAAGATGCGCTTAGCAGTTATATGGTGGAGTCATTACACAAAGTGAGAATTGGAGGTAACATCTGGCTAATTTAGGCAAATATGGGCTCTGGGGCCTAAACTCACTCTTTACGGTATCTGCTGCAACATCAGAGCAGCTTTCCTGAATCTGCAAAACCATGTTGGATCCCCCACTATCTGCTCTCTCATCCCTCCCAATGGTCCATCTTAGTGATCACCACACTTTGGACCCATAGGTTTGTGTGCTGTTACTGCAAACTCCTCTGTGATGCCAGGGGAGGGTCTGTCTTCTCGAGATCTATATGTCCAGGTGCTTGGCACATAACAGAAAATCAAGAAATCATTGATGAATAAATGAAATCTATGCTGAGCTAGGTGAGAGTTCATCAAATCCTAGAACCTATCTGATTTGAGGAATACGGAGTTAAAGGCTGAACTACCATGCCTTTAGGTCAGTGATTCTCAAACTGGCCTGTGCAATCCAATTGCCCAGAGGTCTTGTTAAAACATGGATTGCAGGACCCCACCCTGACAGTCTGGGATTCAGCAGGGTGGGGGTAGGGCCTAATAATTTGCATTTTATACAAGTTCACAGGTGCTGCTGATGCTGGCATTCTGGGGACCACATTTTGGGGACCATGGCTTTAGGTCATCACTTGGCATCAATATGATTATAAAAATGGATCCACACACACGGGCAAGAAAATAGTTTTCAATCAGATGACTGGGAATATATTTATTATCTTTGTTAAAAAAAAAAAAAGTTTTAGAATTTCCATAGACAATTCATAGACTCCTAAGAATAAACACCAGAACCTAAAGGTCTTCAGACCCAGTTCAAGAAATGTTAATCAGATAACTATCTCAATTTTCTATGTAACTGATGTAACAAGCCAGGATAGGCTTAGTGTATGTCGTAGGGGGAGTGGAAGGAGTTCCCCACAACGATGTTTAAAATGGCAAAAAGAGCCTTTAGTCAGATTTTTTTTTTCTTTGAGATGAAGTTTCACTCTTGTTGCCCAGGCTGGAGTACAGTGGCGCGATCTCAGCTCACTGCAACCTCCACCTCCCAAGTTCAAGCAATTCTCTTGCCTCAGTCTTCCATGTAGCTGGAATTATAGGCACTGGCCACCATGCCTAGCTAACTTTGTATTTTTAGTAGAGACAGGGTTTCACCATGTTGGCCAGGCTGGTCTCGACCTTCTGACCTCACGTAATCCACCTTCCTCGGCTTCCCAAAGTGCTGGGATTACAGGCATGAGCCACTGTGCCCAGTCTTTGGTCAGATTTAAGGTCAAAATCATAGATGAACTGGAGAAAGATGAATGGGCAGCATTTCCCCAAAGCGGCAGGGAGCCTGGAATGGAAGTGATCAAGACAGCAGTTTTTCTGCAAAACCCATGGCCTCCCACTTACCTCTGCATAATCAGCCACGAGGTAAAGCTCCACATACTTCATGGAGTTTAAATCTTCCCTTTTCCTCTAAGAAAGAGAAACAGATCAGTGCTGTAGAAATAGTGGGCATGGCCTCATTTTTTATCAAAACTGCTAAGAAACAGAGCTGCTAGGTAAGCAGCAGCTACCTCCGTAACGCTTTTGTCACTGAGTACTAGAGGTGTTCCTGGCTGTGGTGGCCGTCACTCACATAACACCTTCCACTGCCATTTGGTTATTGCTGGAGGCTGCTTTGGAACACCGGATCTGGTCCTTTATTCTCAGAAAATACTGAGATGAGCTGGTGAGCACAGGAAGGACAGAGGCCAGCGTATGAGAGGGAGTGTGCTAACCACCACGTTCCCACAGAACCTTGAAACCTTGAAACACCTTTCTGTTTTCAGTATGAATCAATATGAGATCTGTGTGCACATGGTGAAGTGTCTGCTCCAACAGGGAGGGCATACTTTTTTTTTTTTACTTTTTATTTATTTTTGAGGCAGGGTCTCACTCTACTGCCCAGGCTGGAGTACAGTGGCCCCATCTCAATTCACTGCAACCTCTGTCTCCCGGGTTCAAGTGATTCTCGTGCCTCAGCCTCCTGAGTAGCTGGGATTACAGGCGCCCAGCCACCATGCCCAGCTAACTTTTGTAGTTTTAGTAGAGATGAGGTTTTGCCATGTTACTCAGGCTGGACTTGAACTCCTGGCCTCAAGCAATCCGCCTGCTTTAGCTTCCCGAAGTGCTAGGACTATAGGCATAAGCCATGGCACCCAGTCTTCTTTTCACTTTGTAAGCTTTCTGACGTCAGCATCTGACTGTTTTAAAGGTATTGGTGCGTTCCCTCACAAGCAGTTATTCTATTATAAGAGTATTTCACGCTCAGCACTGACTTAGAATAGGAGAAAAATGCTATTTCTTTCTTCTTAGCCATGACCCTTCAATTTAGAAATACTGGATTCAAAGTTAGCATTCTCAGAGGGGACAAGCTTGTCCCCAAGTTGGTTTCTGCACTGAGAGCCTCAAAAACTCACCCTGCGAGGTCGTTTCTTGGTCTGTTGTGTAAACTGAAGAGCCCAGTCCCTGGTGGTGGGCTTGGAGTGCTCGATCCCACAGTTTCCCGGGGGCAGCTTGAGATGTTCAGATCTGTAAATTAGGTGTTGGACCTCGCTGTCAGGGAGGGGCTCGATGACATAGCTGAGGTTACTGCTCACAGTAATCAGTCCTCTGTTGATAGAAAAATAGAATCTCTGGTCAAAGATTATGGTTCTGTAAAATTTCCTTGGGTAGGTCTTAGTTTCTCCACACGCAACATGGCTAAGTTGGTTTTGATCATTGGTTCTTAAACTAATTATGGGGCCATGTAGCCCTTTGTGAGACTCTGATGCAAACTCACACTTCCTCTCCAGAGAAATGCACATATACATAAAAAGTGGTTCAGGATCTCTTGGACCCCCCACCCCCACCACCAAGCTCATTGTGAGACTCCAGGTTAAGAATCTCTGGACTGGAAATCTAAAAAGTTCTAAGAAGGCTGTACCTGTGACACTTAAAACTTTTAAAGGATGGTAGGTCCAGGATCCCAAAAAACCCTCCAAACCAAAACACGGGATATGACAAATTATGGGTCAAAACTTTAGAGACTCAAAAAAAGCAGTACAGTGGCCAGAGAAAGACCAGGGCCTGCAGGTGAGGTGACCCAGGTTCTAGATTTAGTTCCAACATTCAATTGTCACATGCTTTTCAACAATCATCTTAAATCTCTCCAAGTGTCAGTTTCCTCATCCCTAAAACCGCAGTGATAACTTATCAAGACCCCCGGATGATTAAGTGGAAAGGCAAGGGTCTTTGCACTTGGAAACCAAAGCTAGATGCAACAGTGATGACATGCCTACCTGTCCCAACTGCCCCACATCAGCACGGCAGTTATTTGGTGAAGTGACATCCATCACCAAGCATGAGTGACTACTCTTTTCTCCCTGTGATTATAGATACTAGCATTGAACTCAGAATAAACTCATGGAGCCCTCACTGTGTCTTAGACATAATCTAGACATAATTCTTGTCCTCAAGAAACTCACAGTCCTCTGGAGGACAATCACACACATTTACTGGGGGCCCACTATGGACTAGGTATCATGCTAGTTGCTGAAGATAGAATAGTGAACAAGACACACTAAGTGCCTGCCCTCGTGAAGCTTTGAATCTAAACATTGGAATAAGTCACTCTAATATGTAACAGAGAGAGCAAAAAGTTTCATCACCCCTAACAGTGATGACCTGGAGGCAGCTGTGTCGAGTGTTACGTCACCAAGTCTTCTGAGGGCTTATCTAGCCTCAGCAAGGAAAAGGACCATGACTTATGATCTATTACTGCTGCAAATGATCAGTGAAGGCCCAGGCAGCAGGCATTTGTCATCCCTGACACAGTGAGATAAATATGAGAGCTGAGGTATGTAATCAAGGGTCGGGGGAAGGAGGAAGCCCCACAGACTCTAGCAGCATTTTGTATGCTCTAAAACCTCAGGTAGGCTCTCATCCATCCAGAGAGCTCAGAACGTGCAGCATCTCCAATACAGTCTTTGCCGCTGTAAATCAGCAGGACCTCTCTCTCTCTTAGCTTATCTCAGCTTCCACCTCTACCACAACCCCCACCATTCCTGCCCAGATTCTGCCCTTTGGGAAGAGCCTGTGACGCTCTCAGGAAAATCAGCGCCAGGCTGTGATGGGCAGCAGCCATTCCCGGATCCTATCCCTGGCTGACCTCATTCCAGATCCAGGAAGCCTGATGACTTCCTGGCCGCCTCACCCAGGCTGACACAGCAGTACCCGATCACCTTCTTTGACAGACATCTAAGGTACTCCCTGAACATCTGGGGATGGGAGTGGGGCAAACAGCAAGGGTCACAACCACTCCCTAATCCAGGCAGGAAAGGGCAGAGGAGAGAGCTGCAACACACATCCTGCTCCCAAGTTATCTCTTCATCCCAGCCAACCAAGACCTCTCTCATCGGCTCAGTTTCCCCTAATGGCTACATGCTTTGGGAACAGAGGGCTTGACCACAAACCAACTGATGGTTCTGTGTGCACCAGGCTGTGGCTGCCGAGGTTACACCCAGTGAGTGGAAAGTTCCATAGAGGAATCAGGGAAAGTTCCAGTGGAGGGTCGCAAGGCGTAATTGATCTGACACTGCTTGAACAAGCCTGTGAGCTAAGTAAGACAGAGACCAAGCCAAAGTGTAGTGTACAATAAATAAGAATCACCACGGTGGCTGTAGATTATTGAGCCTTTGCTATGGACTTGGCACTGTGCTCAGAAAGCATTTTATCATTCCCACCACCATCCTAGGATCCTTACTAATATTATCCCCAATGTACAAATGGGAAAACAAAGGCTCAGCAAGGTTAATTAATCCAAAGTCACACAAATACTAAGAGTAGGGATTTGTTTTTGTTTCTGTTTCATCAACTTTTAAGTTCCAGGGTACATGTGCAGGCCGGACAGGTTTGTTACACAGGTAAACAAACGTGTGCCATGGTGATTTGCTGCACAGATCAGCCCATTACCTAGGTATTAAAGAAGTCGGGATTTGAATGGGAACATTCTAGTTCCAAGTCCCACAACCTTACCCTGACCTTCCACTGCCTCAGGCACGATAGTCCGTAGAGTAGGGGCTGGGCATGGTGGCTCACGCCTGCAATCCTAGCACTTTGAGAGGCCAAAGCGGGCGCATTGCCTGAGCTTAGCAGCTCGAGACCAGCCTGCACAATATGGTGAAACCCTGTCTCTAGTAAAAATACAATTAGCCAGGCATGGTAGCGGGCGCTTGTAATCCCAGCCACTCAGAAGGCGGAGGCAGGAGAATTGCTTGAACCCAGGAGGCAGAGGTTGCAGTGAGATGAGATCACACCACTGCACTCCAGCCTGAGTGACAGAGGGAGGCTCTGTCTCCAAAAGAAAAAAAATAGCCATGTAGAGTGAATCAGAAAAATACCATGAGTTTACAGATGGCTCCAAGTGATGGTGCCAGCAGCTCTCCTCTGAGGGGTGACTGGCCTCACCTCAGTTTCCCAGGAGAAAAGACAAAGGAGGCATGAAGCCTGCTTTTCACCTTCAGATGCCATTGATTGAGCTATCCGGGTGCCAGGCACTGTGTTTACAAACATTATTCTTATTTTATTCCCACATCGTCTTTATAAAAAGGCACCCTCATGAGTCCCATTTTACAGATGAAGAAACTGCGGCTCAGAGACATTAAATAACAAGCTCTTGTGGTTAAGGGCAGAGTGTGGGCTCCAGGCATGGGGACCAGATAATCTGGAGCCAAAGATTTAAGGTCCATACACTGTGGACCTCATGCCCTTAAGCTCTGTGCTGTCTGCCTCCATCAGTGTGTTCCAAGCCTGTGTTCGAGATCTCTAGCAGCAGAGGTCCCAGAGCTATCTACTAGAATATTCTACAGTGTATTAAAAACACGGGTATCCAGGTCTGCTATGGATATGGTTTTTTTGGCCCTGCCAAGTCTCATGGCAGAATGTGGTCCCATGTTAGAGGTGGGCCTGGCAGGAGGTGTTAGGATCGTGGGGTGAATTCCTCATGAATGGCTTGGTGCATCCTGGCGGGAATGAGAGTTTTTACTCAGCAAATTCCCATGAGAGTTCCCTCAAGAGCTGGTTCTTAAAGAGAGCCTAGCATGTCTTCCCTCTCCCTCTTACTTCGTCTCTCACCACTTAATCTCCACACACACGGGCTCCCCTTCACCTTCTGCCACGAGTGGAAGCAGCCTGGGGCCTTCACCAGAAGCAGGTGCCGGCGCCATGTTTCCTGTACAGCTCACAGAAGTGTGAGCCAAATAAACCTCTTTTCTTTATAAATTGCCTAGCTTTTTTTTTTTGGGACGGAGTTTCGCTCTTGTTACCCAGGCTGGAGTGCAATGGCGTGATCTCGGCTCACCGCAACCTCCGCCTCCTGGGTTAAGGCAATTCTCCTGCCTCAGCCTCCTGAGTAGCTGGGATTACAGGCACACGCCACCATGCCCAGCTAATTTTTTTTGTAGTTTTACTAGAGACGGGGTTTCACCGTGTTGACCAGGATGGTCTCGATCTCTTGACCTCGTGATCCACCCGCCTCGGCCTCCCAAAGTGCTGGGATTACAGGCTTGAACCACCGCGCCCGGCCCATCGCCTTGGGTATTCTTTTATAGAAACACAAATGGACTAATACAGGGCCCAAACTAAAAAACCCAGCTCCGCAGGCCTGAGTGTCTGCACCGTTATCGAGCCCGTGGGTAATTCCCTGCCCAGCCACGCTCAGGAGCTTCGGCCTGCAGACCACGCTCTGCAGCAGGCGCCTGCTTGTCACCAGGCCCCTAGCAATTCTGATTCAGGGAGCAGGCAGATTACAGTCTGAGAGAAACACAGGCTCAGAAGGACACTGAAGGTCCTTCCAGCAATAAATAGGATTCTGCGGCCACTTCCCTCCCTTCCTCCAACTGCTGTGCTGGTAATTTGCCCATGTCACGGCTGTAATCCTCTCACATGGCCTGGGGATGGAGGAGAGGCTGGCACGAGCCCAGCACTGTCAGCGGTCAGCAGCTTTGTTGCTGGGGGAATGTCTGAGAATGTGGCTCCAGGGCCCTCCCCACCCCACCCCCACCTCCACTCCTTAGCTGTCCTCTTCCGAGCACCACCAGTCATTCATCCTTCTAGGAGCCTTGGTTGATCTAATTTGCTGAATATTACCACTGGCAGAGGCAGAACTCAGCCAGGAAGCATGAGCCAGGGCCCAGGAGGCTGGGTGGCCAGGACCTCACATGCCATTCTCCATTCTGTTCTCCATGCTATTACTCATCGTTAACAGATGGATGCAAATGAAATGGTACAGGAAAAACTGGGCAGGGCAGGCAGGCAGGCAACAGGCAACTCATGTCTAACCCCTGAATAACTGAAGGATTCACCAAATGCATTCTTCAAGGAACCAGGCCAAGAACTGCTTCCTGGGGACTTGTCTATTCAGAGCTAAACCCAAGGGGACACATTCTACATCCCTATATCCAGAGGTGCCCTAAAAGGTAATTACTAGGCCAGGCTTGGTGGCTCACTCCTGTAATCCCAGCACTTTGGTAGGCTGAGGTGAGCAGATCATGAGGTCAGGAGATCGAGACCATGCTGGCTAACATGGTGAAACCCCATCTCTACTAAAAATACAAAAAGTCAGCCAGGCATGA